TTTTGTCGAGAATCAGCGATAGGGCGTCAGTTGCCTAGTAGATATGTTGCTATTAGAGATCACTGACAATACCAGGTCAGGTCACAGGTCAGGTCACCAAGGGTCACAGGTCAGGTCACATGAACCCAACTTTACTTAGGTTGTGTGATGCATGTTTTATGGCCAATTTTTCATTTCCAACTCAATGGTGTTGGTTATAAGACTATCAGGTAAGGCTTAGGTTACCCTCTGGTGAAGGTCAGGTCAACGTCAGGTCAAGGTCAGGCCAAAAATGGTCAAATTTTAAAGTTGATAGTTTTGCATAAAATGGGTATTGATTCGATGCAGCTCGTCACGGGGAGTCCAATGGTGGTCTTTGTTTTGCGCTGCGAGGTCTGGAATTGCTAAAAATTGAGTTTGAAAATTTGACGTCATCAATTTTGAACAGTTTTTTCGCTATAACTTCGCCAAAAAAAGAGGTATCAATCTCAAATTTGGTATGTGGATGGAAGGAGGTAAGGACTATCACATGTATTTCGGTTTTTGCGAAATTAAAAAAACTTTTTGGATTTTTCGACTATTATATCCAAAAAATCTATTTTTTAATTTTTGGGGTTCAAAATCCAAAAATTTCAAAAATCCGAGATAACAGTTTTGTAGCCCTGTCAATTCTACAGCTTTTATGTCTTAATCATTTTTCTGTATTTGCAAAGCTATAGGCTCCTCCCGCGAAACCCTTTTTTGGGTCGAAAACGGCAGAACATGACGTCACTCTGACGTCATTTCCGGCCAACCTATCATAGCTTTTGGAAAAAATTTTTGGTCACAATGTGTAAAATTGATGTCCGGGAGGGTACTGAAAGTTTGATGACGATCGGCGCAGCGGTTCTGGAGATATATCGAAAAGTCTGGAGGGGGGGGCAAGAAATAGCCCCCCCACCAGGTCGCGGGTTAAGTCAGATAACTACATTTGCCTCGATGGCACGATAGAAAAAATGATTTTCTATAGGCACGTTTAATATTATACCATGTAATTGTTCACAGAAAATGAGTTTGTTTGCGTACATTGGTAACAGCTGCCATGACGTACCATCTATCAAAATTAAGCACATGTTATAAGATGCCTACATGAATAAAATGTTTCCGTTAAGTGAATTCCCGATCTTATAAGAGACAACTGCACTTACTGTCAGACATGAGCATGGATCTGAGAAAATGGATCTGGGATCTGATCCCACGGATCCTGATCTCGGATCCGACGGGATCATAGATCCAGCTCTCAAATTTATCGAGAGATCCGTAGGGATCACAGATCCGATTCTCATGTTTTGCTTGAGATCCAGTGAGATCATAGATCCTCACTTATTTTTTGTCAACAGAAATCCCCCAAAAACACGTGTTGCAACTCATAAACGTTCTGTTTTAGTGATTTTATGTGCTCGCACGTCATAATCCATAATTTTGTGGCACTTATTGACACAGAAACCCTTTAAAACATGGTTTCAAATGCTGTGCATGGTGGAATCCACTCAGATCATAGATCCATGTTCTTAATTTATCATCAGATCGTATGAGATCATAGATCCAAGATGAATTTTTCACACCGGATCCTATGGGATCATAGATTCTAACCTGCAGTTTGCTTCGAGATCCACTGAGATCATAGATCCATAGCTCGGATCCATGCACATGTCTGCTTACTGTCAATACAATAAGAGAAAGTTTCGGGACAAACATTGAGACAAATCTATTGTAAGCTATATGGTGAGCTTTAATTGTTCGTGTTAGGAACGAACAATTAGGACCGATGACAGATTTGATAGAGATTCATCCAGATTAACCCGCGCACCGACGGGGGGGGGGGGCGGATATCGGCCCCCCTCCCCCTGAGGTTTTTCGCGAATAGCGGGAAAACCGCGGCGCGTAGCGCCGCGAAATTTGGTATGACTATAACCTCATCAATTTTACACATGGTGTGCAAGTTTGAACCTCCTACCTTTTAAGGTCAGGTCACCAGGTCACTTTGAATGACCCAACCTCAAGTCACTTTTTTGCAACTTTGTCACCGTGCCAGAGCTACAGTAGATGTCGGAGGCCTTTGAAAGTCGCAGGATATTATAAGGTCATTAGTAGCTACAATTTGTATATCTCGGAATTTCGATATCGGTGACCTAAGGTCAGGTCAATTTCGCGACCTCCCCATTATAAGTCAATGGGGGAAAAATCAACTCCCTGTTTTTACCACTAAAACGGGTCGGAATGGCCCCATATACCATACATGACTTCATATACGATCAACCTTCACTACCTTGAGGTCTGTTTTGCTGTTGGGCAGCTGTGAGGTCATGTGACGTCATCAAAGGTCACCAAAGGTTTTTGGCCAATAACTCCGTACAGGAACAAGATACAGACGCGTGGATGGTCTCATTGTGTTTAGCTCGTCAAGACGCATCGAATGATATACATGATGACCTCGAGGTCACGTGACCTGAGGTCAACCTTTGACCTTGACCTTTCGAGGTCAACATATATATCATTCGATGCGGATTGACGAGAGGATCACGATGATGCCCTTAGTCTTTTCCTATCTTGACTAATTCGAAAGTTATTCGAGAAAAACTCTCTCCATATCTAGCGCCGCCATTTTGACTTTTTCGACCCCTGTGACGTCATCTTTGACCTGACCTGAAAATGACCTTTGTAAAAATTGTAGATCTTGGCCGTGCGTATCCGATGCCGTTTACCGCTTGTCGCTATCTTGCTTCGTTCTCGAGATCTCAGGGGGGGGCGGTCATCCGCCCCCCCCCCCGTCGGTGCGAAGTTGGCGCAGACCCCCGTCGGTGCGTGGGTTAAGAGCTCGACACACTATACAACAGGAACCTTAACCTTATCTTTTTGCCGCCATTTCATGGTATCTTGTAACTTGAAGTTTTATTTCCTTTCATGCAAAACTTATCATACAGGGTAGATATGGACTTTAAGTGCATGCCAGCTATCGGATAATTCTGTTCATTGTATGATTTATCTGTGCATGCTGTAACAGAATGGCTCGGCGGTACCAATGTGGGTAAATCCGGGCAGAACGGTGAGGTGAGATCACCAAACGTGTCGAATCATCGCCGTGTTCCGCCGGTGATCTTACCTGTTTCCTTTTTGTCGTTCAGCGATTTGCTATTCATCCAACAACACCCAATGGTCTTCATCACACACATTTTGTGCACAGTTTAGAGCTTATGACTTACGAGTAATTAGTATGCTTTCATTTCAGAATGCGGCCATTTAGACTCTAAATCATTTCACGATGCATCCCTTATGTTTTCATTGCAAAGTTTATTTATAGTATGATAAAATAAGAACAAGTTTATACGCATAAAGTTTATATAACAAGTTTATATAAACTTGTTTATATAACAAGTTTATACTTCGGTATAGCAAATATGAACGTTCCTTGTTCTCCTCTACTCCGAAGTATAAATATAGTTAGGTAAAGTAGGAGGATTCACCAGCATCAAAAATGAAAAAATCGTGACATTTAGTCCACTTTTGCTGTAACAACCATAATCCGCTACATGCATAAGCATAGGTAGTCAACAAATCCTAGCAATCACTCTGGGGAAGTGTATTTTAAGCACACTTTTATATGTAATGGTCTGGAACATCTAATTTAGACACTACTTTTGTGCACTCTAAGCCAAGTAATTACTTCACGAACAAAGCCGTCACGATAAGCTTGCTTACGAACGACAACAGTATGCTTGCCATTTGGATGCTAACAAAATGACTTCATGACAGCACGCTGAAAAGATACGGAATCGCAGGGAATAATCCTTTCCGATGAATTGACACGGAATGTCCAGAAAAGAAAACAAGGCGCAGCATTACCCGACATAAATTACGCGAATGGACATCGCTTCTTGAATGTTGTTTTCAATTAGTGTCATCAGATTACACGGATGTTTATTGTTGTTTTGTGCTTGTCACTCTATAGCTGACGCAGGAGGAAGACGGTTACGGACGGGGATTGTGATGTTTCGGTCACAGCATACCTGTTTCCAGGTTATGTTATTGTATTTGTGTACAATAATGAAGAAAATAAAACGTCTCAGCCAGGTCTGTCAATTGGTTTCGAAAGGAGTGTACCTACCTACCAACTGACATCGTAAGAAGACATGACAGCATGATAAAGCAATGTTTTACACCCAAAAGCTAAAAGATCAGTCGACCGTTTGCCTATGTGAATTTAATTGTCTCAAGTAAGAATTTTACATGAAAGATACGGGGAAAACAAGAAATCGAATCGAGCAGCCGTTGGCAGATTATCGCTTGAACAAAAGCCTGGTGTAGCCCGGGGGCTCAACTTGGCCAGCCTCTCTCCACATATATGTGGAGATTATAGATTGTATTGCTTATTCATATATGAATAAGTATAGGGGCGGGGAAACTGCAACGAGTAGCGACGCCAACGCCAACAACGAGTAGAGACGCCAAAAACAAAACGCCAATCTTCAAAACTTGGGATCAGGTTGGGATGCAAACTTAGGATCAAGGTTGCATCCCGTGTTTACATTTGCCCTACAGGGTGGGATGGTCACTTGTTCTCCGACTACAACAAAGCTGGCCAAGGCCCCACTGAAGCACAGGCTACCTCACAATTACTATTTTGCTATTTCGCTGCTGCTTAGGTCGTACAAGGCTCGCGGGAAAATAGTTCGAAGAGGGATCGCCTTTCAGCTTTGCTCTGTTGGCGCTCGATGCGATTATTGCCTATTAGTTAGTATTGCATTGGCCTTAGAAGTAATCTTGACTGGCCCGGTCATCCACCGCGTGAGCAAAGATCACTCCAATAATCGCGTCCAGCAGTGGATAAGTATAAGATGCGGCACTATGTTGGCTGGGTTCCGGCCGAGTTTTACGTTCTTAACTAAAACATCTTTACCGTCTATTCGAACACAGGTGGTAAGAACTAAAAAATGCACCCAGTAACAGAAATAACGGTAATCAGTGCTCTCCTTGCACCATCTCTCTGGGATGAAACGTCCCGCTAGCGGTAGAAAACAACACTACGAAGCAGTTATGTGACGCAAGCTCCGATGCAGATACCGCTGAAGCGCGGGGCGCGGCGATGATAACAGGAAAACTGGCCGCCGCCGGAGGTCGGACTACAAAAGACGGCCGGCGCCCGGATCGGGCACCACTCGCTGTCCTCCGCTCGGTGCTGTGCGGTACAGGTGGCCCTCGACCGGCCCGGCGCGTCTGAGTCACAACTGTCTGCTGCCTCTTCTGTTTGTCTTCCAGCTTCACCTACACTCGACAGATGGTGGTGAGCAAAAACATCAAGTCAAGCTACCGAATATTACTTTGAGTCATTTAAGTTTGGACTGTAATCGCCACGCCCCGTGTGGATTGTCCATGATGGTAATACATACATATGTACATACATACATACATACATACATACATACATACATACATACATACATACATACATACATACATACATACATACATACATACATACATACATACATACATACATACATACATACATACATACATACATACATACATACATACATACATACATACATACATACATACATACATACATACATACATACATATCACAAGTTTGTTCTTCTGCATTAATTTCCAATGGTCGTCAATTTCATCCATATGTTTCTGACATTTCAAGTCGCTCCGTGGCTCGAGTGTTGCTGACGGGTATGCTGTGTTCTTTCGTCAGATGTCTGCTCTGAGGTCGGTGCTGGGTCTGGCGCTGCTCGGACTGGTCTCCAGCGTCGCCCAGTTCCACGGCAGCTCCCACCACGCCAGTGTTCACCGGCCCAGCACGCACTACGTGGCGGCGCGGCCGAGCAGCTCCTACGGTGCTCCGCGGGTAGTGACGGCCGCCACCAACTACCAGCAGCCCCAGGTGTACCGGGTCAGCTCGCCCTCGACACACACCGCCGCGCAAAACTTCAACAGTGGAGCTCAGAACTTCCACAGTGGCGCGCAGAATACGCACAGTGGAGCGCAGAATACGCACAGTGGAGCGCAAAACTTCCAGAGTGGAGCTCAAAACTTCCACAGTGGAGCGCAGAATTTCCACAGTGGCGCGCAGAATACGCACAGTGGTGCTCAAAACTTCCAGACTGGTGCGCAAACGTTCAACACCGGTGCGCAAAACTTCAACAGCGGTGCTCAAGGCTTCCGCAGCACTGCTCCGTCATCGCACAGCGGCTCACAAAACTTCCGCAGCAGTGCGCCATCATTCCACAGCAGTGCGCCGTCCACTCGCACCAGTGCGAACACGTTCCCGAGCAGTGCGCAAACGTTCCCGAGCAGTGCACAAACCTTCTCGACCAGCGCGCCTCACCTCCAGAGCAGCGCTCCGTCCTCTCACAGCAACACGCAGGGTCCGCGGAACACCGCGTCCTCCTTCCAGGCCAGCGCTCCCTCCTCACATAGCGGAGGAGCGCAGAGCTTCCGCGGCAGCTCGCCGTCCTTCCAGAGCAGTGCGCCGTCCTCCCCGTCCAGTCCGTCGGGCAGCGGCAGCAGCGCGAGCAGCAGTGGACCCAAGTTCGTGGGCCGGCAGCGCCTCGCGCCGACCACCTCCGGCCGGCAGTCGTTCGACAGCCGCAAACAGCTGCGGCAGACCGTCCGCGCCGTCATCCAAGGTGGGTATCATGAACCTTTGGAGACCCTCCCAGATTTAGGAGGTTTGAGAGGTTAGATACCAGTGAAAATATAGGAGTCATCGCCCAAAATATTCCATCGCTCCAGTACTTCAGAAATTTCAGAAATGTAAAACAGTTCAAACGTAGAGAATGATTGAGACATTTTACTGAACCTGCATTGACATCTTGTTGTATATCACCTAGCAATTAAATTTTCGCGCCTAAAGGCCCGCTCCACCGATCCCAGCCTGCAAGATCATACAACGCCAAGTATCGGCAGGATTTGCTAAAACTTCCAATAACACCTGTCTGCCCCATCTCCAGGTTCGACCAAGTACTACGTGTCGTGGGCGAGCGGCAGCCACCGCACCTACACGTGGGACGAGGCCGACCACGAGTGCCGGCGCTACGGTCTCCGGCTGGTCTCTCTCACCAGCTTCGAGAAGGAGGCCGAGATCAGCAAGCTGCTCAACAACGCTCCCTTCCGTGAGTATGCGCTAGGTTGTCACCTAACATGCATACATTCTTGCATGACGGGCATTGATAGTGTTTTTTTGTGTCATCATTGCTGTTTTTTACCATTGATGTCACCTTGGTTGCCAGGGCTCTGACCGTGCAATGTTTTCTGTTTCAGCGGTGGCGTACTACTGGACGTCTGCCACCAAGCAGGGTCCCAACGGCGGCTTCATGTGGGCCGACCGGGACACCACACCCGTGTGCGAGATCGACAGTCCGCGGGACGTGTGCCACGAGAACTGGGGACGCGTGGGTCAGCTGCGCCAGCCGCAGCCCGACAACGCAGAGGGCCACGAGAACTGCCTGGCCGTGCTGAACAGGTTCTACCCGGGAGACGGCATCACCTGGCACGACATCGCCTGCCACCACAAGAAACACTTTGTCTGCGAACGGTACTAATCAGCCGGGTCGGTAAAGGGTGTGTTGATATTGTAGCAGAACGTCCGGCCGCCGGCCGTTGTCGGGCAGAGCCCATGGAGTCGGTAGAGTCGTTAGGAGTTGACAGTCGTTAGGAGTCGATGGAGTCGTTAGGAGTCGATTGAGTCGAGATATTTCAAACAAAAGACAAAGTTGATAGAGTTTACATAGTCGACAGAGCGTCGAGAGCGTCGTCAGCCGGATCTGACCGAAGCTTTAGAGCAGCAGGTGGCCAGTGGACCGTTCGTTCGTCGTGGGGTCGCGGCGGCGGCAGACGCGCGTCGCCGCTGCTGCGTAACATATGTGAGACGATTTTTTGTTTTATGTTGTGTCATTTATTGATGTGTGTATAATATAATTATTGTTTTAGTAAATGTTGTTTTGATAAAAAGCCAATTAACATTTATGTTTTATCAGACAGCACGCGAGAGAGACAAACGAACACAGCTGACGATAAGCAGGATCACGCTACAAATATGTCAACGGAGCATTCTTACCATGGTTCGTGCCGAAAAATATTGGTTTCAAAGCTCAAATGCGTGATTCAAATGTGGAAGATTATTAAAATACGAAAATAATGTGTATGGAAGTGTTTAAAAAGAGCAGCCCAATACAAGTAATCATGCCCCTAAAAGTTCCTGGTACATAGTGCAGCTCGAAAGAACATCATAAGGAACGTTAAGCACGCGTGAAATAAAAAAGTAACAGGTAGCCTTGATACACTTAAGCTAGATGTGATAATAGGACAAATACAGCTTTACTAAATGCAGCCTTTGCATTTAGGCCATTCGACGGACTAGCTTGCAGCCCGAAATACATCAATTCAGAAGTCGCTACGCACAAATAATCTTTGACTGTCATGGTCAGAATAAACTGAGAGGTTATCATGTCATTTGGATAAGTTGCTTAGGAAGCACCTTCAGCCTACCGCCTCGCTGAGCTTTCCATTTGGAATCTCCAATGCATGATTGTATTGTCTTAAAAAGACGCTGTTTGGATGAATCGACGACTCGGCAGTTCTTTTCAAAGGGAGCCAGGCTCAGCGATTTCTAATCGGATATAAATAAGTCATACAAGACTGTTCAGGTCGGCCTGTGTTTCAAACCGGCAACTCGGGACTTTTCTCATCTGTGTTGCCATCGGCGCACATACTGTCCTCCAATCTCTGTATTAGGTTGCCACTGAATCATCTAATGCCTTGTTGTCCTCAGTATTAAAATTTGAACTGCATTCCTCAATCTAATCGCCATTTTCCTCGACCGGTATATGGCTCATTGTTCTGGACAGCAACGAAAAGGGTACCAGGAACGGGCCGGCGCGGGACCACGCGGTAACTCCCTTATACGGAACAGGGTAAGTATCCAATTAAACATTTTATTGGTGATTGATCTAAGACGTCCACCGGCGGTCGTATTCAGTGTTGTACCGCTTCCCAACCCCGTCGCATGCGACACTCCTCTTGCACGCTTTGAGCGGGCCGACACTTTTATGCACGAGGCGCTTTCACTGGTCTATAAAGTAACACAATAGGGAAGATTTCTTGATTGTCACGGACTCACGGTGTTTCTAAGTGAGTCATTATATGTACTGTTTTATTAACGTAACTGGAAGCGAAATAAAATATTCAGGGTAAGGGCATCCATGTCAAAATTAACTAGCGCGGAATCAACGGTTTGCACTATCATACATCTCCGTCCGCGATTAAAAAGTCTTGCTATTCCATCGCTAAGGAGGCCGAGCCTTGAGGAAAAACGTCAACCCGCTTGGCATAAGAAGAGACGAAATTAATTATATAATTTGTAGTACCCTTGGACATACTTATCTATATCATATTTAGGTCATACAGTTAAATGTTTCTGTTAGCAAAACTGCACTAACAGACAGAGGCGGATCCAGCTCAGGGTCTTTTTTTTTTGGGGGGGGGGGGGGGGCAAGCCATAACAATTTATCGATTCTTTCCATGCCTCGTCCATAGGCGTAATGTTAAAATTATGCCGTTTGGGGGGGGGGGGGGGCAAATGCCCATTTTGCCCCCCCCCCTGGATCCGCCACTGCCAACAGAGTCGTTCTACCGGTTGTAACTTCGTCATTCATTTACGCACCAGTTTCTATTTGGTATTTTGTCATATGCTGATGTGAACAAACAATATTTCAAGCATCTGGAACCATTTTACTGTATAGTTTAATTCATTATCATTTATATCACAATTGTGTTTGCATTGTCAACCTTTGTCAAATTTATGCATGGAAAAGTCATAACGGTGAGTGCTGAAAATTGACCTGAGGGCTGAGGCCAAACTTTGGGCAGCGATAACGGCAGTACAAATTAACGCCGATTACGAAGCAAATTTTCTAGAGGGACGTGAGTATTAAAAGCAAATAACGATAACCTTATGTGAAATAATATGCAATATAAATGGCATCACAAAATTATGAAGTAAAAATAACAATATTTTCCTTGTTCGTAAAATGTCCGCTTTGGTCACAGCAGAGACAACCCTTTCTAGCTATCAGAGGTTTAGAAATATTTTGAATCTTACCGTTTACATAAGTGGCTCAACGGTATACGTTGACTTAGATGCCTGTTTTTACAAAATCATTGTCATTAGTACAGAGTACCTACCTAATCAACAAGCGAAATATCATTTTATTGTATTTTCACTCATCTACAGAAGACATGACATAATCACGGGACACTGAACCGAGCATTTGATTGAGCGAACACGATAAATAACGCTTATCAATATACAGATGTAACTCCAAAACCACAGATCACAACTTACAGCATCGACACGGAAGAAACAAAACTTTCGACACTACTTATACACACACAGTCGGCCTGAACCGCACATATGACTGGCACATGATATATCTCCGAGCACCTTAGTAATGTTCGCAGACAAAGTGTTTCTTGTGGTGGCAGGCGATGTCGTGCCAGGTGATGCCGTCTCCCGGGTAGAACCTGTTCAGCACGGCCAGGCACTCTTCCCCACCCTCCCGGTTATCGGGCTGGGGTGTGCCCGCGCCGCCAGTCCGGCCCCAGTTGGTGTACCCGCCCTGCACTGGCCCGCCGTGACCCCACACGAACTGGCCACCGCGACCTCGGCGACCCGACGTCCAGATGAACTCGATCCCTGCCGGAGAGGGTGCGAAGGGTCATTCAGGGGGGAGAGGCCGGGAAGGGATAAATTCAAAACGTGTTTTGCGCAAACCACGGAGGAAAAGTGGGATTCATCTGTATATGATCTGTTCATATGCATGTGAGCAAGACATTTGTTTGTTTTAAGGTGAGATAAAATTAGTGACTTAAGCATTTCTTTTTAGAAAGAGGAGAGCATCACGTAAAAATCTGGTTAGTCACGCGATCGCAAACATTAAAATAGTTCACGTACTGTACTTATCAATCTCGGAGGAAATGTAGTAGTCCTTGTCGGGATTATCCAGTGAGACGAGTCTCATCCTTCGGGAGTTGCACCGCTGGTATGCCTCTCCCCAGGTGTACATCTGGTTACCGTCTTGCCAAGAGAAGTAAAACTGCCTCGATCCTGCCAACAATCCAACAATCGTAATGTTCTGCTTACTTGGATACAATTGTAAGTGTTTACATTCGGCGCGACTGGTCAGGGTTCACTGATGCACCATCGAGGAAACATCATCCATTCAGTGGAATACAATTGGACAGCATCATTCGCAACACGAGTAACGGTAATAGCTAATTGTTTTGTATGGTGCTCCTCCATTGAATTGGGTGCTGCAGCACCAGTGTGAAAACTGCTTATGACATTGCTCAATTTCTGTCCCCTGACGATGCATTTCGAAAACTCAAACTCAGAAGAGTGCTTGATTGTAGATAGAAGCATTTTATATGATCCCACTTACCAAAACCACCACCACCGCCTCCGCCGACTCTACCGCCGCCTCTTCGACCTCCGAAACTACTTCCATAACCACCTCCTCTTCCGACGCCCCCTCTTCCTCCGTAACCTGAGGCTCCCCTTCCTCCTCCGAAACCACCTCCTCCGTAGCCCCTACCTCCGCCTCTTCTTCCTCCAAAACCACTTCCTCGGTAACCACTACCGCCTCCAATGGAACCTCCTCTTCCGCCCCTGTAACCGCCTCCTCCTCCGTAACCTGCTCCTCCTCCTCCTCCTCCGTAACCGCCTCCTCCTCCTCCTCCATAACCGCCTCGCCGAGGAGCTCCGTGCTGACCCCCGGCCGGAGCCAGGCAGAGCAGGGTCAGACCGACCACCGCCGCCTGCAGGGGCGACATCTGTAAGAGGAAATCAACAGAGAAATGCGTAAGAAAGACTGCTGAATCATGGAACTATGAAAAAGGCAGATGGGTTAGGTAAGTACATAAGTAGACACGGCACAGTGGTGGCAATATCATACATTTTTACGAGAATGTTAAAAATGTAAGTCCTCATTCATCATCAAATAAATGCTCCATGAAAGGATGACCAAAATCAGTAATTCCTCGTATAGAATCATCACGTCATCAATTACTGTAGTCATAGATAACAGTATGCTGTAGTCTATATCATATGGACTGGGATTTCCGATATTCTTAATTTGTGTGCCGGAACTGTGGGCTATATTGTCCAGGAAAGCTATTGTATTGGATTATTATTGCAAATGAAAAGGCAGCCGACAGCGGATTTTGATAGTATTGATGTGATCATGTTTGACGCGCTGCACACCGTGCAAAATAGTAGTTCACCTGGCGTTAAATTTAATTGCTCAGCCCATCCAAGATCATTGAAAATTGATTATTGATCATCATCTAAAGTTCCGAGCAATTCAAACGTTGGGCATACTGGAAGATGACTGACAACAGCTCACCTGACGAATAAGAATTAATTTATTTTTACCAGGTTCGGAATGCAGGAAAGCGCAAAACGTTACATCGTCCGGAGAGCTTAATTGACATCATGCATCAGGTTGACACTGGCGGTGACCGCCATTCCGCTGATGGAGGAAACGGTCCGGCGCGGCTTCACTGAAGTCCTTTTCACAACCATCCCACTTTTTACACCCCTATCTGGTCTATGCAGCTAGCGGTTTCGGGCACCGGAAGGTTACGGCCCGATCCAGCGACAGCGTTGGAGGCGGCCCCCATGTTTACCTATCGAAATTGTCATCGCTGGCGACACGCACCGTGCCACGCGCAAAACGTTACAGGTGCGTGTGTGGGGGCGATGTTTTGAATGTTGCAACGACGAATTCAATGGGCGGATTCATTAAGGAAAGCTATTGTAGCCGTATTCATTCGCAGCAGAAAATGCGAAAACATTTTATGTTCTACGCTCCTTATTGAAAGAACGGAGCATCTAGTTACACAGCTGTAAGTAGGGGAGAACGGGG